TATGACACTGTAGAGGGGACCTCTGTGGAATCTTAAACTTTCGTTAGTGTTCATGTTAACTTAAACTTGTCCACATACGGAAGTACTGTTCCACCAGGCTTACTGTTTCACCACAATTTGTTTTATATGTAGCAAGAAATCTATATCCTGTCTACAGAATAAATATTGGCAGTCATCTCTTCTTTTGTACTCTAAAAGATCAAAACTGCCTGCAGTGTTTTAAATGAACAATACTTCTATGAGATATCTGGACTTCTGAAACTGTTGTTCGTTTAAATATCATCTAGGATAATTGGACAATTGAAATGCAGTGTTTTCCCAAAGTATCACTTGGTCATCCCTCCAGCACAGCTGCTGACTGCCTATAAATGTAACAAACTTTGTGATCCAGACCACAGCCGGCTTTCTTCTTCAGTGGTTCTTAACCTCAATAAATCCCAGTCAGTTTACTAGCCATTAGGATTTCTGGGTGTTGAAGGCCAAAAACATCTGGGGACCCCAGGTTGAGAACCACTGTTCTAAGTGGTCTGGCACCCAACTCATCAAGAGAAAGATATAACATTGCTGTTACATTTTATGGTAACAATATCCAGCTATTTCAAAAACATGTTGCAAATTCTTCTGCCATGAAAAGAGAAAAGTCTTTGTAATAGAATCAGTGTGTGTGTCTTAGACCCCTTCTGCACTGCCGTATAAAATCCAGATTATTTGCTTTAAACTGTATTATAAGGAAATGTAGACTTGTATAAACCAGTTCAAAGCAGGTAATGTGGGTTATCTGATTTGATAATCTGAATTATACGGCAGTATAGAAGGGGCCTTAGATGAAGAGGCAGGTGCAAAGGCTTTCTGTCTTTATATCTTCCAATGCCAAACATTCCTTTTTATGCCCCAATCTAGTTGTTAATTCCAACTAAACTGATGGAAGCTACTTAAGTGATGACGTAGCAAGTTTCTATTGATTCCTCTAGTTAGGAACAACAATTAATTTTACAGTTCAAAAGTCTAGCTAGCTGAACATATATTTTTTCATTAAACATTTTAATGTCATCCTACATCAGTTGCGGTAATGGCACTCAGTGTTCAATTTTGAAGACAAGAAGGATTTTTTAAAGTTCCTTTTCTTTAGCTTTCCTGGAAACCAACTATCTTAAGTTGTTTATGTTGACCTGTTCTGACTGTTCAGTATCCATCATTAGAGTCTAATAGAAACAGGCTGAAACAGGAACCAAGTAAAATTGTGACACATCTAGTTACGTAGAATGATGCTGCTATATATGTGTGTCAAGTCAATCCTTCAGGCCATCAATGTTAGCCTAAGACATTTGTATACCAAGATTTTTTTAAAAAACTAATGACACTCTCTAATCACAAAAGATGCAGATATTTCCTATTTGCTGTCAAATTGACTTTATACCAATCCCATGAATAAGAGACCTTTAGGAACACTGTGCACCAACAGCCCTGCTCAGGTCCTATAAACTCAGGGCTGGAACTTCCTTGACTCGGGTGCCTTCTACACAGCCATATAAAATCCAGATTATCTGCTTTGAACTGGATTACATGGCAGTATAGATTCATATAATCCAATTCAATGTATATAATGTGGAATATCTGGATTATATGGCAGTGCAGAAGGGGCCTCAGTAAGAATCCACACAAAGGCTAAATCTCAGTGAGTATTATTTTGTTCAAGATTGACCACAGATGTTATTCACCTGTTTTAATCCAACTCAAATTGGTCCTGAGAGCTACAGAATTCTACCTCCTAATAGTTATCTCAATACAAAAGGGTCTTTTTGGTGTGTTCACTATATCCAATTATTTTTATCACTTGGCCATAGCAGCTTTGGGTTGTTGTTTTTCTTCATCTTGGCATGCATCAAGCAATAATAGTCTTTCTTGTTTCCCTGTCAATTTTACCACCCACCATTCACTCCCATCAGATGCTACCCCCCATCCAATCCATCTCTCTATGCTTTTAGGCCATGGCATTTTAGGGGAAACCTCTTTTAACACTGTTTTATCTGCTGCTGAATTGGCCATTTACATCCAGGCTTTCATTTTATATTGTTTTCATTTTATTTATTTAATTGCTGTAATTTGATTGGGTTATCATGCAGCCAATCTCTATAAAAGCTAGTGGTCTAAAAAAGCAGTTCTTGGGTGTTTGAACCAAATAGATTAACAAATAATACTGGCCGCACAAACTTTATGAAACAAGAGAGAGACAATAAGTGGGAAAGGAGCTGAGGAAAAGGTGGCAGCAGCACAGTGTCACTGCCATGGCAGAGTATTATGTGAACCAGCAATGTAATTGCCACATCTTTGCTGAACTACAGAGGTAAAATTTCAGCGTGGCTCCCTATAAATAAGCTTTTAACTGGGTTAAAGAGAAGCAGGAGAGGACTAGGCATAGATTACTCATCCAATCACTACAATTCATGAGAGCACCTAGCCTATATTTAACAAATGAGCATCTCCTCCATATCCAAAAGTAGAACAGGATGTTGTATCAAACAGGGGTTATATTCTATTTCAATGTGAAATAGGTGAAAGGTAAACACATTCATCTCAACCTGAGGGGAAAATGGGGAAGTGGGACTTAGCCAGGAAACAAGTTGCTGAGGAATCCAGGAAGTGAGTTTGACCAAAAGCCATGCCATAAAATATGGGAAAGTGCCAGAAAAAAAGTTTGTATTTTGAAACTGAACTCATTTCAAGAAACGGGGGGGGGGGGGGACTGTGAAGGTCAGAAGCATTACTTGCAAACAGGGGCGGAAAAACAGACACAAAGGAAACAAAAATTGATGAAACACAAGAACCTGCACTTATTCCATAGGCAATACTTTATCAGTAGCATTTTTATATACAGCACATACCACAAGATTTGTGCTAACAAAACTGAATCCAAACTGTTATGGAGCTTGTGGTGGGTTTCACCTAAAATTCTGTAATCTTATGTCTTCAACAATAACATCTTCAAACTGGTTTATATTTGCTCAGCTGGCTGAACATTAACACACTGCAGTTACAGGACTCTCAGTGAATATTTGATTCATTGTATTCCCACTCTGGAGGGAGAACATATATTCTCTCCCTAACCACACCCAGGTCTATGTCTGTGACAACCTTGTAACATAAATTCAAATTAGACAAAGGTGACTGAATAATGTCACACAGCTGTATAAATTCCACATTGAGGTGGGATATATGGCAATGTGGACCAGGATAACCCAGTTCAAAGTAGATATTGTGGATCATCTGCCTTGATATTCTGCCTGATATAGCTGTGTAGAAGGGCCCTTAGAGGGGTAGATACACAGTTTAACTCAGAGGTCCTCAAACTTTTTTAACAGATGGCCAGGTCACAGTTCCTCAAACTATTGGAGGGCCGGATTATAATTTGAAAAAAAAAATGAATGAATTCCTATGCGCACTGCACATAACAAATTTGTAGTGCAAAAACACTTATAACAATACAATAATTAAAACGAAGAACAATTTTAACAAATATAAACTTATTAATATTTCAATAGGAAGTGTGGGCCCGCTTTTGGCTGATGAGATAGGATTGTTGTTGTTGTTGTTGTGTGCTTTCAAGTCGTTTCAGACTTAGGTTGACCCTGAGCGAGGGATGGATAAATAACCTTGGAGGGCTGCATACGGCCCCCGGACCTTAGTTTGAGGACCCCTGGTTTAACTGATGCAATTTGCCACCTCTTTAACCATCATAGCTCAATGCTCAAAAACCACTGGACGAATTGACACCAAATCATAGCTCAATGCTCAAAAACCACTGGACGAATTGACACCAAATTTGGACACAATAACCTAACAACCCAATGTTTGTCCTTCACTCAAAAAAAATGATCTTGTCATTTGGGAGTTGTAATTGCTGGGATTTATAGTTCATTTATAATCAAAGAGTATTCGGAATCCCGCCAACGATGGGAGGTCATTTGGGAGTTGTAGTTGCTGGGATTTATAGTTCACCTACAATCAAAGAACATTCTGAATGCTACCAACCTTGGAATTGAACCAAACTTGGCACACAGGACTCCCATGACCAACGGAAAATACTGGAAGGGTTTGATGGGCAGTGTTCTCTGATTTTGGAGTTGTAGTTCACCTACATCCAGAGATGACTGTGGACTCAAACAATGATGGATCTGGACCAAACTCTACATGAATACTCAATATGCTCTAATGTGAACACTGGTGGAGTTTGGGGAAAATAGAATCTTGACATTTGGGAGTTGTAGTTGCTGGGATTTATAGTTCACTTACAATCACAGAGCATTCTGAACCCCACCAACGATAGAATTGGGCCAAACCTCCCACACAGAACCCCCATGTGGGCCGCAACAACGCTGGCTAGTAATAATAATAAAAAGTTTATTTATATTCCGCTGTATCTCCTGGGGGGGGGGGGGGGCGCTCAGGGAGGTTTCCAAGCAACAACATCAAAACATACAGAGTCACAACATGAACAACATGAACAAAAAATAACAGCAACATAAGCATGGAATTACCCAACAACACATAAATATTAAAAGAAAGAAAAAACCACACCTCCCAGGATAACCTGGCAGTCAAAGCAGTGTCCACTGGGGGACACCCTGTAGACTGGCAAGCTGCATGGTGTATGGCCCATGTAGTAGACTCACATCATACTGCATTGTGTGGGTCTACAGCAGGCATGGGCCAACTTGGGCCCTCCAGGTGTTTTGGACTTCAACTCCCACCATTCCTAACAGCCTCAGGCCTCTTCCTTTTCCCCCTCAGCCGCTTAAGCGGCTGAGGGGGAAAAGGAAAGGGCCTGAGGCTGTGAGGAATGGTGGGAGTTGAAGTCCAAAACCCTTGGAGGGCCCAAGTTGGCCCATGCCTCATTTGACAGCGCAGCCCCTGCCTCAGGGGCCTGGCAGGGAGGGCTCTGTTTCCCACAGACTCGCCTCAGGCTGCCTTCAAGATGGGATAGAGGGACGACACTGGCTTACCTCCCTGCTCCTGCTTCCCGCTTCTCCCTCAGCGCCGAGCCGACTGCGCGTGCAGCTCCTCTCAGCCGTTCCTCCCTCAAGAGCCGCAGAGCGCCCGCCCGTGACGTCACTCCAGGCGTTGTGGTCCCTCCGACGGCGAAAGATGGGAGGAGGAGGAGGGAGGGCGCTGCGTCACCGCCTCCGCTCAGCCCCGCCCACTCGAGGAGCCCTGAGAGCACGCGCGCCGCTCAGGCTGGGCTCGAGACGGGCGCGCGACCCTCCTTGGCCGAGGGGAGGGGAGGGGGAGAGCGAGGACTCAACCATCTCCCTCTGTCTTTAATACACCGCTTCCTTCTCCCTCTAGCGGCGGAAGCAGCATACTCGTATTGTCAATAGGATTTATATATGACTAGCCGTCCCCTGCCACGCGTTGCTGTGGCCCAGTCTGGTGATCTGGAAAATAAAGTAACGAGAAAGGGTTGGTTTCTAATATATGTAATGTCTTGATGGTTGTGGGTAAACAGTACTTCTTTCTGTTTCTCTGTCAGTGTTGATGTGAAGAGTATCTGGTTTGCCTACTCTGGAACATATCATTGTCCTTCTTTAGGGGTCCCTTTCAAATCTATGATACTGCATCTGTCATATAAATATATGTGTGCATGTGAATCCTATATATCTCTATATATGTATGGCTGGATGGCTCTTTGTCAGGATGGCTTTGATTATGTTTTCTTGCCCTGTTGGAGGGAGTTGGACTGGATGGCCTTAAGGCAGCATTTCTCAACCTGGGAAGTCAACACACCAAGGGGGAGGGGGGGTCACCAGGGGGGTGTCAGAAGGGTCACTAAAGACCACCAGGAAACACAGTATTTTTTGTTTGTCATGGGGTTTTTGTGTGGGATGTTTGGCCCAATTCTATCGTTAGTGGGGTTCAGAATGCTCTGTGATTGTAGGTGAACTATAAATGCCAGTAACTACAAATCCCAAATGTCAAGGTCTATTTCCCCCAAACTCCATCTGTGTTTATATTTGGGCATATGGAATATTCGTGCCAAGTTTGGTCCAGATCCATCATTGTTTGAGTCCATAGTGATCTCTGGATGTAGGTGAATTACAACTCCAAAACCAAAGGACACTGCCCATCAAACCCTTCCAGTGTTTTCTGTTGGTCATGGGAGTTCTGTGTGCCAAGTTTGGTTCAATTCCATCATTAGTGGGGTTCAGAATGCTCTTTGATTGTAGGTGAACTAGAAATCCCAACAATGACAACTCCCAAATGACAAAATCAATTTTTTTGAGTGAAGGACATACATTGGGTTGTTAGATGTATTGTGTCCAAATTTGTTGTCAATTCGTCCAGTGGTTTTTGAATTCTGTTAATCCCACAAACGAAAATTACATTTTTATTTATATAGATGAAGAGTTGAGGGATTTAATAAAGCAAGCATCCTCCAGCTGTGCCTCCAAGTACCAGAAGCCCTAGTTGGTTTGTTCAATGGTGAGGAATTCTGGGAGTTGGAGGCCCAAATGATGGTTGCATGAGTTAAACCCAAAGTTAAAGGCAAAGGCAAAGATAAAGTATTTTGGCCACATTATGAGAAGACAGGAAAGCTTAGAGAAGACAACTGGAAGGAAGAGGGGCCGACCATGGGCAAGATGGATGGATGGCATCTTTGAAGTGACTGGAAATGATATGGATGACTATACCATGGATGATAATATGGATGCTTCATTTGGAGAATTCTGAGAGTGCCTTGGACCACAAGAAGATCCAACTAGTCCATACTTCAGGAAATAAAGCCCGACTGCCCGAGGGAAGAGTATTAGAGGCAAAGATGAAGTACTTTGTCCACATCATGAGAAGACAGGAAAGCTTAGAGAAGACAATTATGCTTTGGGAAAATGGAAGGAAAAAGGAAGAGGGGCCGACCAAGGGCAAGATGGATGGATGGCATCCTTGAAGTGACTGGCTTGACTCTGAAGGAGCTGGGGGTGGCGACGTTTGACAGGGAGCTCTGGCGTGGGCTGGTCACGAAGCGTCAGAAGCAACTGAACAAATAAACAACAACAAATGTTGAGCCAGCGGTGCTTCCACACAGCCCTATATCCCAGAAACTGAATTATCTGAGTCCACATTTCCATATAATCCAGTTCAATGTGGATATTATACAGCTGGAGATCCTCAACCCTTTCTACACTGCCATCTAAAATTCAAACTATCTGCTTTGATAGGTTCTTGTGGGTTTTTTCGGGCTATAGGGCCATGTTCTAGAGGCATTCTCCTGACGTTTTGCCTGCATCTATGGCAAGCATCCTCAGAGGTAGTGAGGATGCTTGCCATAGATGCAGGCGAAACATCAGGAGAAATGCCTCTAGAGGATGGCCCTATAGCCCGAAAAAACCCACAAGAACCTAGTGATTCCAGCCATGAAAACCTTCGACAATATATCTGCTTTGAACTGGATTATATGGCAGCGTAGAAGGGGCCAGAGTGTCTCCTTGGGGACACTGTAGCCCTCTTCAGTTTGTCATCTCTGTCTCTGAGGTAGTCTTCCTATCTATATAGTGCCTTCTTGTGGTTGCATCAGAGTAGTGCATACACACATATTTTGAGGCCCTGGCCTTAAAAAGAATTTATTTTAAAATTTAAATTTTGCCAGTATTTTAAGTTAGGCAAAGAAGGGTATGTGCACTATATTTTGTCCAGATCTAAGAAGCCATATAGGAGCCTTTGCAGAACAAACATACATACTAACTTACATACATACATACATTCTCTCCCCCCCTCTCTTTCAGACACACACACATTTGTTTATATCTCACCTTTCACCTTAAAGAATCCGGGCTGGTTAACAAGCATTGAAACAACAGGAACAGTTTTAATGTTCATACTAAGGTTTTAAAACAATTAAATGACAGGTCAGTTCAAAAAAAATTTGCCGTATAAATTGGAAGACAAAGGCCTGTTTAAATAAAAATGGTATTTGCCTGTTAAGGAAAGGAGAGAGAGACATCAAATCTACACATTATTGTTATTAGGACCAACTACAATGTCACAAAATTTTCCAAGGTCTCTAGAATTCTCAGCTAGGCAGGCCTGAAGCGCTCACAATCTTCTTCCACACTTTTGTCACTTTTTGAGTGCATACTAATGAAAGCAATTTTTTTGTTTATAAGGAAGCCCCTTTGGATTTCTATGCTTGAAAAGGAGTCAAAGAACACCAGAGGAGTTGCATGCTTCATGACAACTCTATGAGAATTTTCCCTTATTTTGGATACTGGGGAGACTGCAACTGGGATGCCTGGCTTGGGGAGGTATTTTTTGCTGCCCTGTTAAATAATAATAATATTTATTATAGTCCGAAAATGGACTATAAGCAGAGGCATAATACTATTGCTCAGATGATCCACTGAAACTTCTGCCACAAATATCATCTGCCTGCGAGAAAAGAACTGGTGGGATCACAAGCCTGAAAAGGTTACAGAAAATGAGCACATCAAATTACTCTGGGTCTTTCGAATTCAGACTGACAGAGTTTGGAGCACAATACTCCTGACCTCACGATTGTGGAAAAAAACAAAGTATGGCTCATCGATGTTGCAATCCTAGGTGACAAGAAAAGAAACTAGAAAAGCTTACACGTTACGAGGATTTAAAGATTGAACTACAAGGACAATGGCACAAGCCAGTGGTGATCGGCACACTGGTTGCAGTGCCTAAAGACCATGGCCTGCACTTAAAAACGATCGGTGCTGACAAAATTACTATCTGTTAGCTGAAAAGGCTAACCTACTCAGATCTGCACACATTATTTGCTGATACATCACATAGTCCTAGACACTTGGGAAGTGTCCGACGTTTGATCAAATATAAAAGCCAACATAGTGATCTTTTTGCTGTGTACTAATCTTGTTGTGTATCAAATAATAATAATAATAATAATAATAATAATAATAATAATAATCCTTTATTTGTATCCTGTCCCCCCTCCCCAGGGGGACTTGCGGCCGTTCGCAACAAAAAAGATGCAGAATAAATATGTGAGATATATAGAGGAAATACCATCTGTGTGTAACATTTCAGGTTACAAAGATTAAACAGAAATCATTTAATCCAAAAGCTCTGTGCCACGCTACTCACAGCCATGTTTGCCATGGTCTACAAGAGAAGCTCCATATTCAGATATCTTTGTTGGAATGGAAGAAGTGTCTGTGTTGCCCCTGATTCTCAAAAGTGGGAGGCAAGGTACATACCAGTCTGTTATTAAATATATCCTAAAATCAAGAGAGAGAAAGAGAATGATTTAAAATGCAGAAATGGTATCCAAATTTACAAAACTATCCATGTATGTTCATGGAGTCTCCATCCTGAAATCTCTCCAATGGGTTCACTGCAGATGGCTTTTTTGCAAACAGTTCTTAAATTAACGGATTGCTTACAATCAGCCGATGTGATATATGAGTTGCTGATGTTTTAAGAAGTATTCCTAAGGCAAATCCTTTAAAGTACCCTGGTGAGTTACTAGAGCAGCGGTTTACCAAGCATTTCACATTGGAGACATACTTTTTAGACAAGCATCATTTCACAACATAGTAATTCAGTTTTATTAGCAAACCAGAGGTTAAACCACCCCTTACGAGAGAGATACAGAAACATGAACAATTTGTAACAATGAAATGTATGGGGACCAGGGCCGGCCCGTCCATTACTCGAAGTAAGCGGTCGCGGAATACTTTTTTTGCCAGGGGGCGCTGTTTTGTCCTTAGGCCACGCCTCCTCCTGCAGGCCCCATGCGCCCTCAACAGCCTTCTAATGGAGAAGCGCAGGCCCGCCCACTACGCGAGAGGGAAGTCCTCCCTCCACGTGCTGCCAGGAGGCAGCCAGCCAGGCTCTTTCGCTTTCCCTTTCCTTCCCTGCAGCTGAGCCTGGACCCCTCTCAGGGCAGCAAGGAGGCCTGGTCAAAAGGTACTGCAAATGTCATCTTTTGTACATGCCTCCCCCAAACCCCTCTAGTATTTGGTAATGGAAGTCCTATATGCCAAGCTTGGTTCAATTCTATTGTTGGTGGAGCTCAGAATGTTCTTTGGTGCTTGGTAAACTGCAATTCCCAAATGTCAGGGTCTATTTTTCCCAACCCCCTCTCCAGTATTTTCTGTTAGTCATGGAAGT